GTCACATCTGGATTTGGGGAATTAATCTTTCTTTTTTTTCTCATTGGCCCCCCTTCTCCCTGTCTTTCCCTTTCCAATCCAACCTCTATGGAGCTGCCAAATAAGACTGCCAGGTCTGAATCAGCATGAGCAGGGAATCCTATGAGGGGTGGTTGTACGCACTCCAATTCACTCTATTTGAAGTTATAATCATGTAAAATATTGTGATTGGTCCCAGTTCAGTGGAAATACCATTGTTTGCATTCACTGGGACTTAGCTGCAGTCCCTACAGCAGCTCAAGAATCATCAATAGCTCCCTATCGCCTCTAGAATACAAGTACAAACACCTGTGTCTGGTATTTCAAGCCCTTTGCAAAGCGGCTCTACCCTCTCTTTTTGGGTGATCACACCTGACCCTCCCTCCCTGGCTGCCTTGTTACTCCTCCCTACAAGGCATTTCACCTCTTGACCACTCTCTACTCCCCCTGTCTGGCCTGCCCTCTTTCCTCACCCTGTCTCTTCAGGAAGTCCCAGGCTTCTTCAAGGCTCATCTCCAGGCCCTGTCCCACCACAGGCCTTTTCCCTGATCCCTCCCCCATAACACGTCTCCCAAATCCCATGGTTTTGATTTTTATATCCCTGCTGCATTCACTGTCATGGTAATTCCCTAGGGGAATGTAAGTTCCGTGAGGTGGGGCGTTACCTTGTAGTTGTGTCCCCCGCAACTGGCACCTGCCAGGGCCTTGGTAAATGCAGACATAACAAGGGGGCTCAGTGAGAGGTGAAAGGAGCTGTCATCCTGCCTCAGTCTCTCCCCACTTGAGTCCCTCTTGCACTCAGCAGGTCTGACCATGTCATCCTCCCTCCCCCAATAAACTTCACTGGCTCCCTATCACCCCAAGGATCAAATACAGACTCTTCGTCTGGCTGTGACTGACTGACTGCTGTGTATCAGGCATCCTTTTAAGCTCTGAGGACACCACAAAACCAAAGCTGGCTCCTGCCCTCAAGAAGCTTTGATTCTAATGGGGAAGACTGTATTTTTTATAATGCTTTCAAGTTTACTAATCATGCTACAAATATGTTCTCATTTTATGCCCACAACGGTTCTGGGAGGCAGAGGCTATTATTATCCCCATTTGACGGATGAGGAAACTGAGGCAGACAAGAGTTAAGTGACTTGCCAAGGATCACACAGCTAGTAAGTGTTCTAGTAAGGACATGGGAGCATCTGGATTTGAACTCAGGTCTTCCTGAGTTCTCCTACTTCCTTCTCTCCTCTGGATAAACAGTCACATCTGAGATGCAAACATGGCCCTTTCTACCATGCACCGGAGGTTCCGGCTGCCTGGGATGTGGAGAGCTCTCCTCCAGTGACCATGTCCGCTGTATCTTTATCATTCTCTGTCTTATCCCTCCAATTCAATAAGCCTTTAATAAGCATGTTCATACGTACCCTTTAATGCACACTGCGCCGTGCTGGGCCTGGAGGGAGATCCAGAGATATGAGATGCTAGCAATTTTACAGACTCCTGGGAGGATACAGCCTGCCCACAAGTGAGCACCACGCAAGGCGGAATGTGGTAAGGGACAAAAGGAGAGGTCCAGACAAGGGGGAGAGAACATTTTAGCTGAGGAGATCACGGGAGGCTTCACAGACAAGGTCACACCTGAGCTGGCCTTCATGGACGATGGAAGTCTCCAGCCAGCAGAGGTGGAGGAAGGGACATTATTCATTCCCCAGCCTCGACGGCTCTGCCTCTGCTCCAGGACAGCTCTCCTGCTCTTTCAGGAAAGGTCCAGTGGAAAGAGGACTGGGTCTGGAGTCTGTGTGACCCTGGGCAAATCCCTTGCCCTTTCTAGACCTCAGTTTCCTCATCTGTCACCTACCAATCCCAAATTACATTATTTGGGACTTGTGAGGGCAGAGAAATAACAACACACATTTCCGTAACATGTTGAGGATGACTGACCACTTCCCCCATAGGAAAGGAGTCCTGGTATTATTACCCCAACTTACAGAAAAGGAAATGGAGATAGTTAAGTGGTTTACAAATTATTATCTCATTTGGTTCCCAAAACAACCCTGTGAGGTGGACATCATTATTTCCATTTTTGCAGATGAGGAAACTGAGGCAGGCAGCAGTTAAGTGATTTGCCCAAGGTCACACAAGCTAGCAAGTGCCTGAGGCTTGAACTTAGGTCTTCCTGTCTTCAGGTGTATCCCTCTATCCACTGCAATACCTCACTGTCCACAAAGCACAAAAGAGTTCAAGATCAGGCAGGACCTGAACTCAGTCTTTCTACCATCCCAGTGGTAGTTCAAGCTGTCGTTTTTGTTTTTGAAAGAAATTCTAGAAAAAGGAATTAAGGAAGACCCTGAGATCCAACCCCACCCCAGGCACTTGAAGCAACAATGTGGGGAACAAGAAGATCCCAACAGCCAGGAGGGTCTGACCAGCTCCCCGCTTGTTCAGGCTCCCTAATTATAGCCAGGCCCTCATTAGCTGCAGCCAATGCAGGGCACTTGGCCTCGAAACTCCATCCAAATGACTGCTCTGCCCATGCCAGCCTCCGAGCCTCTCATCAGAGGGCTCTCAGTAAACATCATTATTCCAGGGCCCATTGCGGGAACGCAGACATCCCTGGGAGGGCCCGGCAGCGATGAGGCAGATCTGGGAGCGGGGCTCAGGGAGCTAATGTCTTTTTTTTTTAATTTTTTAAAAAATTTTTAGGCAATTGGGGTTAAGTGACTTGCCCAGGCTCACACAGCTAGTAAATGTCAAGTGTTTGGTCTGAGGCTGGATTTGAACTCAGGTCCTCCTGACTTCAGGGCCAGTACTCTATCCACTGTGTCACCCAGCTGCCCAGGAGCTAATTTCTAATGTCCCTTAATGCCACTGATGTGTTAACTTGAGACCAAGTTCCTTATTTTAAAATTTTTATCAGTGCCTTTTGTTTTCACATCACAGTCCTTTGGAAATATTTACTTATTTCCCCAACACCCAGAGGGCCTAACACTGTAAAAATCAACCAAGCAATCAACAAGCATTTATCACCTACTGTATAACACAATCAACAAGCATTTGTCACCTACTGTATAACACAATCAACAAGCATTTATCACCTACTGTATAACACAATCAACAAGCATTTATCACCTACTGTATAACACAATCATTTATTAGTGTGGGCCACAAAACGCCAACCTGTAACAAGTCACTCAGAGCACCAAGCATGATCAATCAATTCACTGGGGATACTGGTGGTCCCTAATCAACTGGGTCCAAGACCTTCCTCATGGTCAGGGTCCCTGACGCTAAGGAGCTGAGGGAGTCCCTTGGGGAGTTCCTGGGAGGTCCCCTCGTCCTTGGGAAGTTCCTTCAGAAGAGTGAAAGCTCCTACGATTGGCTAATCTTCAGAAGTGGGGTGGGGAGCTCCCATGATTGGCTAAGGGTAATGTTCACCAGTCATAACCACTCTGTCAACCGGCCTTTCACAGGCCAAGTGCAGGCCATCTCAGCAGAGGCCTTCCACAGGTCATAAGACCCTACTTTTGGACCAACAGTATCCTGGGGTCCAAGGAAGCTGTGGTTCTGAAGCAGAAGTCACTGGGCAGTGGGTGGTAATGAGTGATTCCTATGGGTGGAGAGGTTATAGTGAAAGCACTACACTTGCAGGGCGGTGGGGTACAGTGCAGCAGTTCCATTCTCATAATAGTTCTAGCTAACAGTATCAATCTATCTGATAAATCAAATACAATTAAAATCACCATCAATACATGACGGATTAATCATTTATAACTCTTAGCCTAACCAACAAGTAACATAATCACCACACATTTGATCCTATTCTGCTTAATTCACTAATATAATCTCTGATACCCTCAAAACACAATGACCTGAATAAATGCTGATTAAACTGAATAAGGGTATCAAAATCAGCTTCACATTAGGCACCTATATCATAATCTATACCACAAGCAATAAAGCATTAATTAAGCACCTACTGCATACCACAATCAACAAGCCTTTATTGAGTGACTGCCATATACCACAAAGTCAATGTTATGACTTGGCACTTCTCAGCAATGCGATGATCCAAGACAATTCCAAAATACTCATGATGGAAAATGCTGTCCACACCCAGAGAAAGAACTACACAGTCTGCATGCAAATAGAGGCACACTGTTTTCACTTTTTTTGTGTACATCTTTTCCTTTTTGTTCTGTTTATTCTTTTACAACATGACTAATGTAGAAATATATTTACATGATTGAACATGTAAAACCTGTATCAGATTACTTGCTATCTTGGGGAGGAAGGATGGGAGAGAGGGAGGGAGAAAAAATTTGAAACTCAAAATCTTGTAAAAGTGAATGTTGAAAACTATCTTTACATGTAATTGAAAAAAATAAAATACTATTTACCAAAAAAAAAAAAGAAAGAGCATGTCATCTCCTTTAGGGTTCTATTTACCATCACTGTGGTTTCCAAACCAAAATTGCCTTCCCAATCTACAGCTTTCTTCTATGTGTTATCTCCCTCTACTGGAATGTAAGCTCCTTGAGGTCCAGGACTGTTCTACTTTTGTCTTTGTAACCCCAGCACATAGCAGTGTTTCTCATCACGTGGTCAATGTTTAATAATTGCTTTCCATCAAAATGCTATCCACATCTACAGAAAGAACTGATGGAGTCTGAATGCAGAGTGAAGCACACTATTTTTACTTTTTAATTTTTATTTTTTGTGCTTTTTCCGTTTTGGTCTGTATCTTTTTTTCACAACAAGACTATCATGGAAATATGCTTTATATGCTTGCACATATATTACCTATATCAAACTGCTTACCATTTTAGGGAGGGGAAGTGGAAGGAGGAAAATCTGGAACTCAAAAACTTATAAAGAACGAATGTTTAAAATTGTCTTTACATGTAATTAGAAAAAACAAAGTGCTATTTAAAATTTTTTAAATGATATTGAAATAGTTATCAAAACATTAACAAAACCAAGTCTCTGACCTTATGGTTTCAGTACTTGGTTTTTCCATCAGGTCTGGGAGATGGAATCCAATCCAACTTGCACATTGAAACTAAATTACTTTCCCTAAAACAAGAATCACAGGATAGACAGTTAAAACACTTATTAATCACTTACCATGTGCTAAGCACTGGAGATACAATAATATACCCCCCATCTGTGCTGTCTTCCCCCACTGGAATGGAAGCTCCCAGAGGGTAGGAGCTTTCTTGCCAATTGGCATTTGTAACCCTGCTCCCACTTTCACTCTCCTGCCCAGCTTGGGTGGGAGCTGTGTCACAAATACAAAAGTGAACCCGTCTTGGACCTCAAGGACCTTACACTGAAATAGGGGAAGGTGACACAGATAGGGGAAGGGCAGAGGACACTGGGAGAAGACTGAAGCTTGGGGCACAGGGCAGGTGTGAAAAGAGTCACAGAATCTGAGAAGGAATCCCCCGTTGAATGAATGGACCATCCAGCTTCTACATGAAGCCCCCCAAGGAGGAGGAGCCCCTCGCTTTGGAGCACATTACTTCCCTGCTCAAAACACTTCAATACCTCCCCATTGTTTACAGGATGGAGTTCACCCTTCTGATCCTGGCACTCAAGGCCCTGCACATGGGGCCCCACTAGAACTTTCTCTCACTCCCTTCATCTACATGTTGACTAGACGTCAGGGCCCAGGAAGGCGAACACTCACCGGTTCATCCACTGTTAAGAGCCGGAGGGGCCCTGAGAAATCTCCTAGTCCCATTCCTTCATTTTACAAATGAGGAAACTGAGGCCCAGTGAGGGAAAATGATGTTCAAGGTTATCCAGACATGCTGCTTGTGCACCACAGACTAGAAGATAAAGCAATAGATGTGAAGTCAGGAAGACTTGGGTTCAAATCCTGCTTCAGACATGTCCGAGCAGCACAACCTTGGATAAGTCACTTACCTTCTCAGCCTCAGTTTCCCTATCTGAGGATGATAATAGCACCTGCCTCCCAGTGTTGCTGTGAACATCCTGTGAGATGATGGGGTGATTTATCCAATCCCGTGCTCCCTGAAATGTAACAGGAACAGCACACAGTGCATGGCACATAAATGCTGACATCTGAAAGTCTTAAATCAATCTGGCATTTTTAAACCATCAACATTTCTACCATCCTTCGAGACATTTTTCAAACTGGTTTGCTCTTGCTGCTCAGTAACTTCATGAATTGCATCTGTGAAAAGAAATAAGAATCAATCAAATTAATTAACTATTAATTAAAATAATACGTGAGTTAATTACTAGTTGATTAATAGGGTTCAGGGCTCTCTCCACTCTGGAATAGACTGCCTTAAAAGTGTGTGGGCTCCCCCTTCCTTGAGGTGTTCACATAAAGGGTGGATGGATGACCTCTCGGGGAGGGGATTGTTGGTGCCTAGGGGCTGGACCAGTTGTCTGGGGGTGGGATACCCAGGTTCCTTCCAGCTCTGAAACTCCACGCCTTTGTATTGAAATCATCCCGTATCCAGGACATCTTTCTGCCCGGGGCCTTTCCTTAAGTCATACGTTTGGTCAACTCAGGGAACAGCATTGGAGGAGCAGGTTTAAGAAGGGGAGCTTGGGGGAGGAGGCAGTCAGCAAGGAGCAGCCCAGGAAGTGGCTTCCTTGTTTCTGAACACTTTACACACTCAGACAAGCTGAGGGAGCACGGAGTGGGGGAGACTATGTTCTTTCTGTTTTGTCTAGTTACCTCTGAGAGATCCTGTTACACACAGCCCAGTGACTACATGCAGAAGAAGTCAGGTGGGTTTGGTCACCTCCCCCAAGAAAGGTGTGACTCACCTCACATTCATTAACTTGCACATGGAAACCCCCTGGGCTGGGGCCTGGATCATAGAATGTAGAATTCCCTGGAGCATGGGCCGGACCCCCAAATATCAGGGTCAGATGGGACCTCAGAGGCCGCTACACACAAGCCACCCCGGAGCAAGAATCCTCTAGACAGCGTGCCAGGGAAATAAATGGGGCTATCCAGATTGTCCCTGGAGTCCTCCAGTGAACTGAGCCCAGATCCTGCCTGTTCCTTGGCCTGGGTGGCTCCTTGATGGGATCAATCAGGGCTCAGGGAGTTGTCTTCACATGGAGCTGAATGAATCCTGCCTCCCTGCAGTGCCTACTTCCCACCACTGCTTCTAGTCCTGCCCCAGGGACTAAGCAAGATAAATTGAAGCATTCTTCCACATGTCAAACCTTCACGTATTTTTTACCTCTTCGAGCCTCCATTTCTGCATAGGGTATGTAAGCAGGGTAGACTCACTGGCCTCTGAGATCCCTCAGAGCAGCTCTAGGTTAGGGAGAATTGTGGCGGAGGAAAAACCTTAGAAAGCTCAGTCTCCATTTTGCAACTTTCTTACTGTGTGACTTTGGACAAGACGCTTGCCCTTTCTAGGTTCTATAAATGAAAGAATTGAATTAGATGAACTTTGGAGTCTCTGCTGGTAAACTTTTTTAAAAACAATTAATTTTTATCAATTAATCATTTATTTTCTCTCTGTCTCCAATGGAAAACAAAACTCACAAAAACAGCCACAACTTTACAGACAGTAATATCTAGAGTCAAGCAAAACAAATTCCCACATTCTCATGTCCAAAAACGCACACACGTCTCACTCTGTATATTGAGTCTATCATCTCTCTGTAAGGAGCTGGGTAACAATGCTGCTAAATCTCTAGGACAAGACTCCAATCTGAGCCAATCCAGCCTAATTCAATCTAGTCCAATGAACATTTATCCAGTACCAACTGTGTACAAAGCACTTCACAAGCATGCTGTGAATACAAAACAAATATCAGTCTCTGCCCTCAAAGTGTTTACATTCCACTTGGGAGGATAAAATGTGTTTTGTCAACAGATCTTTTTTTTTTCTAGTATGTTTTTTTTCCAAACAAAGATCCACTTTCTCTCCCTCCCATCCTCCACCCTCTCTCTTCCCAATTGGGAAATCAAGAAAAACAAAATCCCTCTTACAGACAACTGTAGTCAAGGAAAACAAATTCCCTCATTGGCCACGGCCAAAAAAGTCATGTCTCAGTCTGTATGATGAGTCCATCATTTCTTTCTCAGGAGGTGGGTGGAATGTTACATGATGAGTCCTCTGGAGTTGTGTTTGGCCATTGTGTTACTCAAAGTTCCTAAGTCTTTTAAAGATGTTTGTCTTTACCATATTGTTATTGTAGGAACTGTGCTGGATCTACCCACTTCTCTCTGTATTAATTCATACAAGTCTTGCCAGGTTTTTCTGAAACTATTCACTTTGTTACAATAGTATTCAATCACATTAATATGCCTTAACTTGTCCAGTCATTCCCCAATTGATAGGCACCTCTTCAATTTCCAATTATCTGTTACCACCAATAGAACTGCTATAAACATTTTGAACGTATAAGTTCTTTTCCTCTTTCTTTCGTCCTTGTGGGGTATAGACTTAATAGTGGTATCAAAGGGTACACACAGTGTAATAGCTTTTTGGCCACAGTTCCACATTATTTTCCAGAATGGCTGGACCAGTTCCCAGCTCCACCAACAGTGCATTAATGTATTTTTTCCCCTGCAGTCCCTTTAACATTTATCATTTTCCATTTTTTGTCAATCTGAAGGGTGTGAAATGGAATCTAAGAGTTGCTTTAATTTGTATTTCTCTAATTATTAGTGATTTAGAGCATTTTTTTAATATGGCTATTGATAGCTTGGATTTTTTTCCTCTAAAAATTGCATATTCATATGTTGTGATCATTTATCAACTGAGATTGGTTCTTATTTTTATAAATCTGAATCAGTTCCCTATGTAGCTGAGAAATGATACCTTTATCGGAGAAACTCACAACAAAGAATTTTTTCCTACTTACTTGCTTCTCTTCTAATTTTAGCTGCATTGGTTTTGTTTGGGCAAACACTTTTTATGCAATCCAAATTGTCCATTTTACCTTCCTTGATCCCCCTTGTCCCCCACCAGCTGTCTGTCTCTCTTTTAGTTTGGTCACGAACCACAGATACCTCTCCCGCCACAGATTTGACACGTAATTTCTCCCATCCCCCTCTACTTTGTTTATGATATCTTGGACAGTTCTCATTTGGAGCTCATCTGGATAGACAATGTGACACATTGATCTAGCCCCAGTTTCTGACAGATTTTCCAACAGGCTGATAGTGAGCTCTTGCCCCAGTAGCATCTTTAGGGCTCATTTGCTTCTGTATATTGTGGACATAATTTGTTCCACTGATCTACCTCTATTTCTTACCTAGTCCCAAACTGTTCAGATCATTACTACTTCCTAGCATAGTTTGAGTTCTAGGACTGCTAGTCTTCATTCCCTCCCATTTTTTTCTTCATTATTTCCCCTGAGATTTCCTTTTGTTCTTTCAGATAAATTTTGTTATTTTTTTTTAACTTCAATTCTTTGGTAGTTTGATTGACATGGCATTGAAGAAGCAAATTAATTTAGGTACTACTGGAATGTCATGAATGAATGAATGGATGAATGAGTAATTACTGAATGCTTACTCTGTGCCAAGCCCAGTGCTAAGCACCAGAGATATGAATAGAAAACTGAGGCAGTTTCTCCTCCTAAAGAGGGCAAAGGGAGACAACACGTGGAGGAGGAGGAGGTTTCACCTGCGAGTCAGATGATAAGGCTCCTTAAGGTGAGTAATGTGTCATCGGCAAGTCAGAATAGGTTGCAGCCAGATTATGGCTTGGAGCCACAGCAAATACTTGGAGCCTCTCTATTGGAAAGCTGGTGGTTTGTGGATCAAAGACCCCAAATTAGTAAATTGTATTTTATTTCAGCCTCTCTTACCCACCTTTGTGTTCCCTCAGCAGATTCCTAAGTGTCCAGCCCCACTGTTTCTCTGCTTGGTAACTGGACCACTCCTCCCACAGTTATGTAACCTGGACTGAAGGGAAGATCTGATTGCAAATAAATAATGATTGCCTTCGGGGGCAAGTCAGAAGTGCCACAGAGCTGGGGGAAGAACCCTCCTAATGGAAATAATACCAGGAAGAGAAGAGGAAATGGATTTGGAGTCAGATCCTAGCAATGCTCCTGTGTGACTTGGGGCAAATCGCTTGAGTTCTCTGAATATCGTTCTCCTCATCTGTGCAGAGCACTCCCCCTTGGACTGCTTCCCAGCTCCCACGTACATTGGCAGGTTGGGTCCTCAAATCTTGGCTCATCTCCTTGAGGTGATGCTCACGAGGTGATGTTCATGAGCCCCCATGCAATGTGGTCCTCACTGATTATCAGCCAGCCAGAGGTGATTAGTTTTTTAAAAGGCTTATTTACTGAAATGGTCTAGTAAGGGTGTTTGACACAAAAAACATCCCCCTCAAGAGCAGGGTTGGGGAATCTTTGGCCTCAAGGCCACATGTGGGCCTCTAGGTCCTCAAGTGTGGCCCTCTGGCTGAATCCAAACTTCACAGAACAAATTCTCTTGATAAAAGGATTTGCTCTGTAAAACTTGGACTCAGTCAGAAAGCTGCACCCAAGGACCTAGGTGCATCCTCTAGGGCATCCTCTTCTACAAGGACTGCCAGAGTATAGAGAAAATTAGCTCAAGCCATGAGATCACATGCAGCAAAGGGGAAACTCACAGTCCCTCAAGGGATGGGAATCCTTTTCTCCATATGAAGTTCCCTTGAGGCATATACAGTTCTTTGCTGGCCCCAGGAAGGATAAAGGTAAGTTGGAAAGTCCACGCGGGACCCTGGATGTAGAGCTGGTTGGGACATGCGAAATCATCTGGTGATCATAATATTAATTTAGCTCATGGCATTTGGAGGGTTCCCAACCGCTTTACATTCATCATCTCCTTTGATCCTCCTACCACAAACTCTTATTATGTCCATATTCCAGATAAGGAAACTGAGGTACTCAGAGGTTGTCACTTTCCTTGGCTAGTAAGTGTCTGAGGCAGGATTTCAATCCAGGTCTTCCTGACTCTAGTCTAGCATTTAACTCCTTCATCTTGCATGTTTCCTTTTCCAGTGAGGAAATGCATTCAGAGAGATCCAGGGTCCCACAGTGATAGAGCCAAGGGCAGTGAGGACATGAAGGTCCTCAAGACTTCCCCCATGAGACCCTGCCAGAAGGGAGGGTTTGGGGGGGACAGAAGAGCTGACTGAGTATCTGAAGAACTGTCCTGTGGGGGAGGGCTAGGCTTCTTCTTGGCCACACAGGGCAGAGCTGAGGTTGATGAGCAAAAGGACCATAGAGGCAAGTTCAGTTTTGATGTGAGGAAGTCCCTCAGGAGAGCCCATGTCTGCCCAGCTCTCTCTTGGGCCTCCAAGCCCTGGCTGAAAGATGAAGCAGCAGAGATCCTTGCTTGGGGCAGGGCTGGACTGGGTGTCCTCTGAGCTCCCTTCCACCTCTGAGATTCTGAGTTGTTAGTATCTTTTGTCAGGTCCCACTTGCCTTCCTCGTGGCTGGGACTCGTTGACTTGTCAGAAGCCACTGCAGAGGGCATCTCATCTGATGTCTCATTTAACAGAGCAGGAAGTAGATACCCAGACTGGGGGAATCCATCTCCCATGCCTCCAAGGTGGAAGAGATGTCAACTTTGTATTGCAGAGTGGGAACAAAGACAGAGTGGTGGGACAGTGTAGGATCTGAGGCTCGCTTGTTGCTTGTCCTTTGTTCTCCAAGAGGACTACGACCTCGGGACGGTGATGCCATGACTTGCACGTGAGTTGGCTTTAAGTGAGGCAGGGCTGTGCAAAGTCACCAGCCTCACTTTCTCCTCCAGAGACCACCTGGGTCTAGTGGCCAGATATAGATCTAGATATAGACAACTGGAGATCACCTCCCCCTGAGGCTGACAAGAAAATGAGGGAGCACCTGGATGGGTGTGTTGTCTGGGGCTAGGGTGTGGAGAAGGCTTTGAATGCTGTACCAATGAATTGGGCCTTCATTCCACAGGTAATGGGGGCTCCTAAAGAATATAACAAGGAATAACGTGACAGGACATGCCACATTTAGGGCAGCTGTGTGCAGGGTAGATTCGAATCAGTGGCCCTGGAAAGAGACAAGAAGTAACAAGGACCTAAGGTAGGGTGGTGGTCAGGGGGAACGCCCAATGTCCCGGGGGGGGGGGGGGGGGGAGGAGGACAATTTGGAAGCTGTTGAAATAATCCAGGTAAGAAGGGCCTGGGTGAGGACGGCACTGGTCAAAACACCAAGGACAGGACAGAGGACAGAGACATGAAGAGGGAGAGTTAATAGAATCTGTAACTCTCTGAGCCAACCCCAGGGCTGCCCTCCCCTCTTTCTTTCTTCCTGAATAGTGAGAAATTCTCATCTGAATGCGTTACACGAAACTGTCTGATGAGGCTCTGGACTAGCCTTCCAGATGATCTCACCCCATCTGATGAGGAAGGGAGCAAGGAGGATGAGACGGAATTCATCAATATTACTTTTGGAAGCAGTTAAGCCACTTTGTGCCCAGCACTGCCAGTCCCCATAAAAGGTGTAATATGGGTCTATTTTTGAGTAGAAACAGCTTATCTAATTCTCACTCCTTCTCTCAATAAATGACACCTGGATCGTGGGGTCATTTGCCCATAGGCAACAGGGGCAGATCCTCTGGGATCCAAAGAATCTCCTTGAGGTCACGTCAGGTCTGGCCCTAACCTAGCAGGAGAGAGAGGTCAGCCTGCCTTGGTAACAAGTGCCCATGCCTAGAAGGCAGAAGACTGAGATTTGAGCAGAGCTCGAACCAAGGTCAGCTTCAAATTCTTGTGCCCACTTCCCAGATGAGGAAACTGAAGAAGCTTACTGATGATGTCTCTCAGGTTATGCATGGGCAAATCTGCCCTTAACAGTCAATTCTTCTCAGTGACTAACGTTTATACTCTGACCTAGAATTTCCACTGCTAAGCATAAACCAGAAAGAGATCACAAACAGAAAAGTCCCCTATGTACCAAAACCGTCCCTTTTTGGCTCTTCTTTTGTGTGATAGGAAAAAATGGGAAACAAAGTTGATGCCTGTGAATTGGAAAATGGCCAAACCAAGTGGTGATACATGAACGAAAGGACCCGGGACTGTAAGAAACAATGGACGTGACAAATATGGAGGAGCATGACCTGACACAAAGCAAAGTGAGCAGAACTAGGAAAACAACTATGTAAATGAAGATACTAACAACTCATTCATAGAGCCTGTAACTGCCCAAGTCCAAGGACCCACCGAGTTTGGCTGCAGAGAAGAGAGCCTCATTCTGCTCTTTTGCCAAGGTGGTGACCCCTACCCTACATGTCATGTCAGACTTTTTTTTCCCTCTATGTTGGTTATTTTTGCTGAATGGTTTTCTTCCTCCATTTTATCAGGTGATATAAGTGATTGCTCTCTGGCAGGAGGAGAGGCAAGGGAAACATGTGGAAGCACCAGCTGAGTGAAAACAAAAGGTAGCAATAAAAATTTATTTAAAAAACGTGTTCTTCCCTGGAAAGTATAATGAGCAAGCTCAGTTGTGAGGAAGTGTTGAGAAAATGCCTCTCCTTTTGTTGAAGAGGTGGGAGACTGTGGATGTGAAGTATTCCAGATACCATCAGAAATGGCTACGTGCAGGTTGATTTTTTAAAATTGCTTTTTGTCCTTCTCTTTGAAAATCCTTGTTACAAGGCATGTCATAGCACTGTTTATGTTACTGAGTAGAGGCAGGAGGGGTGTACTTGGAAATGAAGGCGATGTAAAACTAAAATACAAGATTTCAAAGCCCCTCCGGCTCTTGACTGTGTTTAGGTGAAAAGCTATGCAGAGCATGCCATTCCTTGGGGAGATGTTAAGACCAAAAAGAAGCAGATGGGCCCTGGTATGGGAGACAGGACACTTACATTCAAGTACCAATCAATCAATACACAATTATTCAGTGCCTACTATGTGCCAGGCAGCAAGTATGTGATTAAAATGTCCTCCCCCTCCAGAAAGCCTTCCCTGATTTCTTTGGCAATGACCTTTGCCCTCAGAGAGGTAACCTAGATTTGGTATGGGGGAGGGGAGGTCCTGAATCTGTCCCTAGCCCTGAGGCTCACTAGCTGTGTTACTCTGGGGAAGTAATTTTATCTTCGTGGGCCCAGAAAGGGGATAGTCACCTACCCAAGGTAATAGAGCTAGTAAGTCATAGATAGAGAGCTGAATTTAGAGTCCAAAACCCTTGGTTCGAATCCTATGTATTCAGTCTGATGGCTAGGGCCTTTGAGTCCACGCCCAATACTCTCTCTACTCTCCATCCAGTACCTCCCCTACTTTCCCCTACAGCACTGAGCCCTGGCTTTGATTCCTTTTCCAATAGCCCAATTCCTCTTGGACCGGAATCTACCTTTAACTCTCAGTAACCTTGGGCAAACAACTTCCCCCTCGGGGTAGCCATTTTCTTCTTGGTAAAATGAAAGATGAGGACAGATGAGTTCTAAAACTGCTTACAGCTTGAGGAAATCCATGACTGTACTCATTTCCCAACCTGAAAGAGAAGGAAGTAGGCCTCTGGTCAAGGTTGCTAGGGCTTGGTTGGGTGGGGCAAACCCCCAGAGGGTGACAGTAATGTCCTCTACTCAGAACCCCATTGTGTTCCCCTGTTGAAGAAGAGCCATGAAGATTTTCAGTATATACGGGACCTTTCTTTCAGGCTTATACCTCCTTTGAGTATGGAGTCAAGCATTGAGATTTCGGGGTCAAAGGGTATGGCCAGTTTAATCACTTGGACATATTTATTTTAATACCAGTTTTGCCCATGTATGACCTAGAGGCAAGTTGTTAAGCTTCTCATCTAGAAAGCAGGCACAGGAATTCTAACCTGCCCTGCCCAAGTGGATGACGTCTGGAGCTCAGACTGTCCCCTGGCATTCCTTCCATCCACTTCAACACTCCCCAGGGGGACCTCAGGGTTATAAACTCTATCTGTCAGGCTGGAAACCAAAGCACAGCACTGGACCCCTTGGCTGACATCCAAGCAGGCAGACAGGATTAGATCTTTAGAGACAAGACAGGGCAAGGCTCACCCAGCCCAGTTCTGAGGGCCCTGAAACCTCGTGATTTGGGCCAGGGTGGCCTGAAATACTGAACGTCCTTCTAGCTGATAAGCAGTGATCCTCATCTCTACCTGCTGGGCAGTTTCCAATGAAAGAAAGCCCACTGCTTCCACATGTGATACTTCACTTGAGATCTGACCAGCACAGAAGGGAATAGGGTACAACCTCTGGGTTCTGGGGAAGTTGTATCCTACTGCAGCCCCAAATCAAGCTTTGGGGGCTAGCATATCACCAAATGAACAGCTCATGACTCAAAGACTTAATTTTAAAAAACAATCTTACCAAAATCTGCACCCAAAATTTCACTGTCATTAAAAAGTGAAGCATTGCTGCCCAGTGATGAGAACAGAAAACCTAGCTCCAGGTCCTGGCTCTCATCCTAAGGATGCATGACCGACCCTAAAGGCAAATCCCTTTAAATCCTCAGCATTCTCACCTGTAAGAAAACGTTATTATCATCACATGATGGGGCTGAATTAAGTGAACTCTAAGGTCCCTCCCAACACTAAAATTCTGTCAAGATAGAGAATCCAGTTCTCTGATCATTAACTGGGACAGTTACAAACCCAAAATCAGGCAGTATGCTACAAGGGGAAGAACTCATGTCTTGGAGCTAGAAGACCAGTTTGGGTCTGGCCATGACACTGCCCCATCCCCCTCCCCTCCTCCTCCCCTCAACCATAAAACTACCTCTTGTGGGGCAGCTTGGTAACAGTAGATAGAGCCCTGGACTTGAACCAGATTGTTCATGAAATCTGAGAAATAGACATTTACTAAATCAATATTAGCTAAGTAAATAACAGGGGATTAGATCAGATTTGGAACATTCCAGGCACCCATTCCCAAACAGTAATCAACCTCAGAAATCTGGTTAATGCTCCAGTTAGCCTCTTGGTTTCTTCACACAGCAGGAAGGGGACCTATTAGTTCATTTACATAAGGGTTTTAGAAACAAGGGTCTGCTTAAGCATCTCCGCAGAGCTCTAGTCTCAGGGACTCCAGCCGCCTCAGTATAGCTGCAGAATGAACTCTGAAACCTGGAGCCTCAGCTCTTGCCATCATTAGCAAACTCCAGGAAGGACGCCAGAGCTCAGAACACGTCAGCCATTCCCTGCCACCTTTCTCATCTCTTCCTCCAGTATCACAATCCTGAATCTCACCACCTCATGGATGGCTCCCTTCTGCATTTTATACTTGGATCATGGAAAGTGTCCCTGCTCGATCAGAGACCATGGTCTTCCTAACATGGCCATGCTGTGGGGCTCACACACTGCTTTCTTAATCTAGAGTCCAAAGAATTTTCCCTAATCAATGGCATTCTCTCAAGTATTGGGGGAACAAAGAATACATGCACACATGGCACCTCCCCTCCCACAAACCTGCGCTGCCTCACAGGGTCAATGCAGGAATCAAGACCTCTGTTTCCTCATCTGTAAAATGGAGATAACACTCATACTATCTAGTCTGATGGGCTGCTGTGCTCATGGAGGTTGGGGCATCTGTCCCCTTCCTTCTCAGATCTGCCCTTTCAGGAAGACAAAGGTTTGATCTCCTACCAGAGCTGCAAGAGGAGGAGGATGTTGGCCACCTGATTGTTGCTGGAAGAACAGGTCTGGCCAGGGTGTGGTTTATTTTCCCACCCTCAGTTTGGGATAGAAATGGAGGCTGTGTTTGGCCAGTGAGGACAAAAAGTTACTGTCATCACTTAGGGATTTTCCGAGTGGGGAAAGGGCTTTAGTTTGGAGAAATGGATCTGTGTATCACCTCTCCTTCCTCCCATTTTAGCTACATGTTGATAACTCATTCCTACGATTTTTCTAGAGCATTTCATCTCAACCTTTTCCTTCACCCTCGTGACTTTCTACCTCATACCACATCAAAGGATCGCTGGCAGAGGAGGCAGCATGTCAGAGAGAAGGCTGCCCTTGAAGTCAGGAAGACCTGGCTGGGTTGAAGTGCGCCCTGGCTGGCTGAACAGGAACAAGTCCCTTAGGCCCTCTCTAAGATTCTAAATTATAGGGCAGCTAGGTGGCGCAGTGGAGCACTGGCCTTACAGTCAAGAGGACCTGAGCTCAAATCCAACCTCAGATACTTGACACAGTACTTACTAGCTGTGTGACCCTGAACAAGCCAAAAAAAAAAAAAAAGATTCTAAGTTATAGCCATACTGATGATTTGTATCAGTGAAGGGAGTGTCTACCAGGGGAGTTTCCCACACTGACGAAGTCATAAGTTCAAACCAAAATTTTACACGATTAAATTTCATTTTTATTAACACCTTTTCCTTTTACATCACAGTAATTTCCAGATACTCCTTGTCCTTTGTAATCTTTCCTTGTAACAAAGGAAAAGAAAAAGTAGTCAACCAAAACTAATTTATGCCTTGGTCAAGTCTGATAGTGTATGCAGTATTCCATACCCATAGTCCCCCACCTTATCAACAAAAGGTGGGGGTGTATAATGCTTATCTCTTCTGAGACTGTAGGATTTTCACATCGAAGGGGAACTAGGGTCTTGTATCCCCACCCCCAACTGACAATGAAATCTGGACTCTAAGATGTGAACTGGCTTACCACAGCCATGCAGCCAGCACGTTTCTAAGCCAGGACTTAAACCCAGGCCTCTTTTCACTACAATGTACTATCTCAGATTCTAAGTTTCTCCAGAAATGAAGCAAGGAAGGAAAGGAGGGAGGAAGCAAGCACTCATTATTAAGCACCTACTACGTGCCAGGCACTGTACACATTTAATCTCACAACAAACTCGGGAGGGAGGTACTATCGTTATCCCACAGGTGAGGAAACTGAGGCAAACAGAGGTTAAGTGACCTTCCCAAGAGCACTCAGCTAATAAGTGTCTGATGCGGCATTTGAACTCTGGTCTTCCTGATTCCAGGTCCAGCTCTCTACCTCGACAGCACCAGCTGCTTCCCATCTTCATATCTCCATCACAGGGATTTGCACATAGCAGATGGTTAACAAAGGTTTCTTGAACTGAATAAAAGTAGTGGGCTCATGGCCAAGACACAACCTCTCCAGACCTCAGTTTCTTCACCTGTAAAACAAGATGATGGAACTGGCTGACCTCTAAGGTCCCTGCTGGCTCTACCTTTGAGACTCTCAAGTTATCCCAGGTATGATCAGGATGGAATACCATTTGGGAAGCAGATACATCAATGAGTCTAATTTCACCACAAGATGCATGGAATCACCAAGATCAAGCAGAACTTAGGAGACTATCTGCCCTCAGGGAGGAAGAAGGGCCTCCGACCCTCCCAAACGGCTTTCTGGTCTGGATCCCTGGACGGACTCCAAATCATGTCACTCTTTTGATTGGAAAATTCAGTTCAATTCAGTGGACTTCAGTTCTGTCACACGTTAGAAAAGCAGCATCTTTTCGAGGGAGTTTGAGCCAAAGTGATCTTCCCGAGCGTGCCACTCCTGTGTGTTTACACCCCTCTGGCTAAAAGGGACCTTGGAATTATAAAATGATCTAAAATCCTATAAAACCATTACATGTGTGATCTGGAAGGGCCCTCAAAGCACACTGAGCCCAACCACTGCATTCAATAGAGGAGGAAAGTGTTGGCCAGAGAGAAGAAGATCTTCCCTAAGACCACCTAGCAAGGATGACAGAGATTGAGTATTAGTGAATACTCATTAAAAAAAAAAAACAAAAAACCCAACCATGTAAGGCTGGCTGACGAAATGACTCTTAGCTGAGAATCTTGGCAGGGAAGCTACCAAGCCAAAAGCATTAGGGGAATTCCCCTGGCCCCTCAGGGGAACCTCTGAACTCTAAGAACAAGATGTAGCTAAGCCCTGGGGGCTCGACTCATCTGAGTGGAGGAGCCAGGAGGAGGGTCCTCAAAGCTCACTTGCACTACCTCAGCACCAGAACTGGGTAGAGAAGCCATGGTTCCAGCTACCTCCATTTGGCTTTCTCTGAGGCAGTGCTGGTGCACAGGGTGAAGGCTCTGGCTGCTACCAGCTGTACGACCACGGAAACGACGGAACCCACTGCGATTCGGCCTCTTCATCCCTTACTTACTTGCCTAGAAGAATTATTGTAAGTATAGTAGGATGAAGGATCATAGGAGCTGGAAAGACCTTAAAGGTCATCTTGTCCACTGCCCTCTCTGCCCCCTCCTCTAAGCCACCATTTTACAGAAGCAGCTGGGTTGTCCAGTGGATAAAGCCCTGGACTTGGAGTCAGGAAGCCCCAAGTTCAAATTTGACCCCAGATATTTAATAACTATGCAACCCTGAGAAAATCACTTAACCTCTATCTGCCTCAGTTTTTTCATCTATCAATAATCAACCAATAAACATTTATTAAGAACCTATTGTATACCAGGGCTGTGCTAAGTGCTGTAAGACATGGATAGTAATAGCATCTACCTCACAGGGTTAAGAATGAAAGGAGATATTATTTGCAAAAATACATAGGACAGCATTTGGTACACCGTAAGTGCTTTTTTTGTTTGTTTTGTTTTAAAAAGATGAGGAAATAGAGTTTCAGAGAGGTTGTGACTTGCCTTGAGGTCATTCAGTACCACAATTGGAACATGTACCCTCTGACTCTAAATCAGGCTTTCTTTCCTCTGTGCCAAGCTGACTCTGAGATGATAAGAAGTGACATCTAGTGTTTTTAAGCTCATGAAGTATGTTACACGCATACAGTGACAGTATGCATTTTTTTTTTAAAGAACCTCAAAGCGCTATCTGAACGTGGGTTCTTATGTTTAGTCTGTCTATGCTGGGTGAGCAGCGTTGGCTCATCTCATGACTGGCCATCGAGTTAAAGATTCAACTGAACAGATGCTTGTTAAGCAGATAAAGCTCCAGGTGCTGGGAGGAATTTAAAAATGGAAGGCGACAGGGGCCATGTTCTGATAGGTCTGACAGTCT